GTGACGGACTGGATGAGGGCTAACAGATTGAAACTAAATCCAGACAAGACAGTCAGTCAAAAGGCCGAACAGGGTATAGGGTTACAACCTGTGCTGGACGGGGTCACACTCCCCCTGAAGACGCAGGTTCGCAGTTTGGGAGTTCTCCTAGATTCATCGCTGAGCCTGGAGCCCCAGGTTTCGGCAGTGGTCAGGGGAGCTTTCGCACAATTAAAACTTGTGCGCCAGCTGCGCCCGTACCTTGGGAAGTCTGACTTGGCCACGGTGGTCCACGCTTGGTTACATCCCGTATAGACTACTGCAATGCTCTCTACGTGGGGTTGCCTTTGAAGACTGCCCAGAAGCTACAACTAGTCCAACGAGCGGCAGCCAGACTACTAACAGGAGCGGGGTACAGGGAGCATACTACTCCTCTGTTGCGTCAGCTCCACTGGCTGCCAATCAGCTTCCGAGAACAATTCAAAGTGCTGGTGTTGGCCTATAAAGCCCTAAATGACTCTGGCCCAATTTACCTGTCCGAACGGATTCTCCCCTATGAACCATCAAGGTTATTAAGATCTTCTGGAGGGGCCCTGCTCTCGGTCCCACCTCCTTCGCAATCGCGATTGGTGGGAACAAGGGACAGGGCCTTCTCGGTGGTGGCCCCTCGGCTCTGGAACTCCCTCCCGATGGAGATTAGATCTGCCCCTTCCCTCCTGACTTTTAGAAAGCTGGTAAAAACATGGCTTTGGAATACTGCATTCGCAGAATGATGATTGAGTCAATAACTGCTGACCACACGGGCGGATGGCGATGAATTTATGATTTACTCTGATGAACTGACCTTTTGTAAGTTGTATAATTGAGTCAATAACTGCTGACCACACGGGCGGATGGCGATGAATTTATGATTTATTCTGACGAACTGACCTTTTGTAAGTTATATAAATGTATTTTAATGTATTTTTGTACTATTGTATTATGATGTTTACTGTGGTTTATCTTATTGTATTTTAATCCTATGCTGTTAGCCGGCCTGAGTCCCTCTTCGGAGGTCAAGAAGACTGGGTTATAAAAGCTCGAAATAATAATAATAATAATAATAATAATAATAATAATAATAATATGACGCGTGGGGAGAAGATAAGCTGCCTGAAGTAACTGGTAACCGGACCTGTTCAAGAATGCTGCAAGAGGTGTGTGACTGCCGTGTGCCATGCTTTTGAGTGAGTATTGGCCTGGCTAAAACTCGGGTTTCGAGGGTGAGTGTGTTGAGATCATTGACACTCCATCGACAATACGTTTCATATAATTTTTACTGTATAAACAATTCTTGTGTAGTTTCCTCTATAGCTGCTCCATTGCAAACATTATTATCAACAGATTTTATAGAATCATAGAGTCCTGGAGTTGGAAGAGACTTGGTGGGCCATCCAGTCCAACTCCTTTCTGCCAAGAAGCAGGAAAATCACATTTAAAGCACCCCCGACAGATGGCCATCCAGCCTCTGTTTAAAAGCCTCCAAAGAAGGATCCTCCGGAGCAAAAAGAGAGAGGGTTCCACTGCTGAACACAGTCAGGAAGTTCTTCCTAATGATGTTCAGGTGGAATCTCCTTTCCTGTACAGTGTTCCTTTGCTACTTTGCGGCTCTCTTTTAGTGGACTCGCTGTTTCGCGGGTTTCAAAAAATATTAATTTAAAATATACTGTATATACTCGAGTATAAGCCTAGTTTTTCAGCCCTTTTTTAGGCTGAAAAAGTCCCCTTCGGCTTATACTCGAGTCAAAGTTATTTATTATTTTACTCTATTATTATTATTATTATTATTATCATCATTTCATTTATTATTTTATTCTATTTATTATTATTACATTTATCATTTTACTCTATTATTATACATTTATTATTTTACTGTATAATTGTTATTGCTACATTCATTATTTTACTCTTTTTATTATTATTGTTATTATTACATTTGTTATGTTGCTCTCTTTATTATTATTGGAAGGATACGTAAGCACATTTACATTGAAGAAGGTTGTACAGAAGTTGATTGTAAATGATATGTTTATAACTGTATTGATTGTAAATGATATTATTATAACTGTATTTGTGTTTGCACTGGTTGCCCTAATGCTGGAGCGGCCTAGCTGTGAGGAGTGTGTTACCATGGAAACAATGCTAATGCTGGAGCGGCCTAGCTGTGAGGAGTGTGTTACCATGGAAACGATGCTGTAGAGAAGTGGGAGGAGCTTAGAGAGGAGAGTTTTGAAAAGCGACAGTTAAAGTCAGTTAGGTTAGGCTCAGAGGAATGAAGAGTTAGGTTTAGGCTCAGAGGAATGAAGAGTTAGGTTTAGGCTCAGAGGAATGAAGAGTTAGGTTTGCTCAGAGGAGTGAAGAGTCATGAAGAGTTAGGTTTTAGGCTCGAGGGAGTGAAGAGTTGAGAGAGAGAGTGGGAAGTAGAGAAGCAGTGTTAGTGAATAGTCAGAGGATTCTTCAGTTAAGGAAGGCTGAAGGGGAAACCTTATTAGTTTCATTAGTTAGAGAGAACTAATAGAAGCTTGTTTAGATCACTAGTTAAAAGTGAACTAGAGATCTGAGGTTTGATCACGGAAGGATCAAACAGGAAGACTATTCACCTCAGGAAACATTGTTTAATAAAGTGCTTCACCACAGCAAAAGTTATTTATAAGTTGTAACATCAGAAGTCTGTACTGTATCGCAACCAAGTTATATGTAACGTTCTCCAAGTATCTTCCAAGTTTATCACCAAACTGCAACCATACGCTTTGTTTCAAAATAAACTTGTTCTCTTTGATTTTAAAACTGCCTCATCTCCATTAATTCTGCGTTCAGTGTGCCCAATCTCCCAAAATTACCTCACATCACCAAATTGGTGGCACCATTAAGGATAATAAATAATAAATCGTAACTTCTCTCTCCTGAGACCTCCCTTTCCATTTTACTCTAGTATTATACATTTATTATTTTACTTTATAATTGTTATTGCTACTTTCATTATTTTACTCTTTTTATTATTATTGTTATTATTACATTTGTTATGTTGCTCTCTTTATTATTATTGGAAGGATACGTAAGCACATTTACATTGAAGAAGGTAAATAATCATTTAATCAGAGTTGGACAGTGTTCCGTCTTCCAGGAGCATGGTTTGCTTTACCTTTTAGCTGCATGGGGTAGCATTCTTTTGCATTTCCCCAGGGTTGCTACAATTTCAGCTGCTCCCTGAAAGTTAACAGCATCAGAGGCTGGAAAGCCAGCCTGCAGGCCTTTTTGCAGCTATTGTTGTGGCTGAGCTAGTTTCTGACGATGAGGATGATGGGATTCAGATTCCTGTTGGGTTTCAGCTTCCTGGCTCTTTGTCTGTGCCTCAAATCTCTGAGCCTGCTTCTGAGGCTCTCACAGACAGTGCAGTGTCAACACAGCTGTTTTCACCAGAAAGGAATTTTAACGAAGGAGATAGCGAGCAGGTGCCTTCCCACGATGATACCGAAAGTATAGATAAGGATTTGACCCGAGAAGCTCGCCTTGATCTCCGGGTCAGGCGCAGTTCACATCTGGCAAGCTGACGGGAGGCTAGCCCGGTGCAAGGTCATCGCAATGCTTTTATGATGCTGAGAGCCTAATGTTTTGATGTTGGGAAGGTATTTAGGCCTCCTGGAAACTCTGTGAAAGTGTCAGTTCAACGTAGCTTATTAGCCTGAAAGCTTCATGGAATAACCTTAGCCTGGAAAGCAGTACACTTGGGATTTCTTGCATTGTGATTCTTGGGGCAAATGTTTCATTGCTTGTACCTGGGACTCTGGTTTAAACTTTGCCAATAGGATTATGTCTCCTGCTTTACCTGAAGATCTTTGGAACTGTATCCTGCATTTAACCTTAATCTTTGGAACTTTACAATGCTTATTCTTTATTTTGACTCGGATTTTTTCCTCAATAAACTGTAAAACTACAGCTCTTGTGTAGTGGTGTTTGGAAGCAAGGTGAAGCCTACTCTGAGTTGCAACAGCTATTGGTTTAGAAAGTATCTCTTTGGGTTAGGAGTCCGCCTTTTTTCCTGGGCTTGAGATCTCCATTTTGGAATCTCCCCTGCCTCCTTCAGTAGAGAAAGAAAGCTTCAGATGTGCTGATGGTCAGGCAGGTAACTCTGAAGAATTCATTGTAGTGATGGTGACTCCTTGGGGTTAGTAGGTGTCTTGTGAGGGGCCTGACTCACCATAGTGGGAGTTGTAGTTTACCCTACAGCCAGAAAGCACACTGAACCCCACCGACGAGGCATCTAGAGTAATCTTGCCCAACATAACAACCTTTTAAGTACTGATGGAGTTTTGGGGCGTTAACCTGGCATGATGGGAGTTGTAGTTCCCCCACAACCTTATGCATTTTGCATAATATATTGACTTTTTTCAAATACCCCAGACAATGCTGTGTACCCAAGTTAGTGTAATATAGTAAAGGTTAAGTTTTCCCCTAGACATTAAGTCTATTCGTGCCCGGCTCGGGGTTGGCGCTCTATGTGAAAGAGCTGGCATTGTCCGTAGACGCCTCCAAAGTCATGTGTCCACTGGCATGACTGCATGGAGTGCTGTTACCTTCCCACCAGAGCGGTGCCTATTGATCTACTCACATTGTTTGCATGTTTTCGAACTGCTAGGTTGGCAGAAGCTGGGCCTAAGAACAGGAGCTCAAACCACTCCCCAGATTTGAACCGCTAACCTTTCGGCCAGCAAGTTCAGGAGCTCAGCAGTTTAACCTGCTTCACTACTGGGGGATCCACAATATAAGATAGTATAGTATAATATAATATGTAGAATTCTTGCTGGGCTTTTCCATTTGAGAATTGGATTCTTTACTTTTGAAATATAGGACCCAGAATTTTTTATATTGACCTGACTCCCTCATTTATTTATTTCTGACTTCATTTCTGAGTTTCGATTCTGGTTTCATCCGGAGTGTGATGTCATAAACCAAAAGTTAAATTTCCTACAGGAATCAAGAAGTCAGCAAGAAGTCAAGTGTTTATTATTATTGTTCTTAGTCATTGTTATTTTTCACAGTGACCTTGTCCCTTGAAACCTCCCGATCCCAAGCCATTTACATTTGAGACAGGAAAAAAATAAAATAAAAGTTAGCACCTTGAAAAAAAGAAACAACCCTCCGCCATTATTTTTGCACTTAAAAAATGAATTGACTGACCTTGCCAAAATGAGTGTTTCTAGCGCATTTTCCCAAAGGAAAGGGCAACGAGGGCTTTGAAGCTGCTGTGTTGCAAACATTCAAGTAAAGTTGCAACCTGCATGGCGCTCTGCAAGAAATGCATGCACAAACGAGCCCTCCTTCCACCCCACAAATGGGAATTATAGCATCCCATTTCAATTGCTGCAACTGCATCCTTGGGATTTGCAGTTTTCAGGAGGAAACTCTAGTGCCGCACTCCATTACGAGCCTGAGGTTGCCCGTATGATAAAGGAGAAGCAATGTGCTACAGTGGTGTAGTGTGAACAGTGTTTACATCAAAGCCATCAAGTATCCGTTCTGGTTGAATTCAGTTGGCTCAGTCAATTGAGCCGTATTTGAGCTCCACAAAGTCAGAACTCAAAGAGCTGTTGCCTAAAAAGAAGCCTCTCCCCAGCAAAGGAATACTGCGACTGTCACCCAAAGGCTTGTAAACATGGAATGTGGGTGCCATTTTTCAAACTGGGACCAGTGTGAGAGCCTCACCGGGACACAACAAGCGGGCTACAGGCCTGCTTCGCCTGGGACTGTTTTGTTGTCTCTTTAGCCAGGAGACCCATGCGTTTTGTGACATTCCTGGTAAGGGTGGAATTAACCAGTCGTCTACATATATATATAGAGAGAGAGCGAGTGCAAGTTGTGTTGTGAACGGCCTGCGTCCCATTAACACAAGTGCACACAAGACCAAATATTAAAAGAAATACAGAGTCCCTTTTTGTCTCCCATAAGTGATAGTCCAAAAGGCAAAGGAGAATTCAGTTTGTGTTAAAGCTCAAATAGGACGAGTTCATTAAAAAGAGGCGAAACCCCGGGTCCAGTGGTCAAGAATCTGGAACGGAAGATGGAAGGAAGGGACACCCGAGTCAACTTCTTCCCAAGAACCGAGTCCGGATGCCTTTCTTCCCACCAAACATCCGAAGGGCAGCATCCGGGGGGTCACTTTGTGAGATCTGTGGAGACGGCATTGGCTGTCGTCTGCCCAAAGATAAAGGCTCCCAGGACAACCATGAAGACGCCATAGCAAACCATCACCCACCAACTGTGGAGAGAAGCAAAAACAGGGATAGTTAAGAGATGGCATGGATAGGGGCTGGTGTGTGGATGGAATGAAATTGTATGAAAGGTTATTGTAGGTTTTTTCGGGCTATATAGCCATGTTTTAGAGGCATTTCTCCTGATGTTTCACCTGCATCTATGGCAAGCATCCTCAGAGGTAGTGAGGTCTGTTGGAACTAGGAAAAAGGGTTTATATATCCATCTTCAACATAAGCTGAGTGTCATTAGCGTACTGGTAACACTCAAGCCCAAAACCTTGGACCAGCTGAGCAAGTAGGCGCATATAGATGTTTATTTATTTATTTATTTATTTATCGTGTCATCAGCAACCATACCATTGTATTACAATTCTAACAGAGCAAAACAAACACAGATTAAAAAGAAAAAAAAACACAGACTTTGACCAGTATCTGGCCCCTTGGAGCGCCTCTGGTGTTGCCGCAAGAAGGTCCTCCCTTGTGCATGTGGCAGGGCTCAGGGTGCATTGCAGCAGGTGGTCAGTGGTTTGCTCTTCTCCACACTCGCATGTCGTGGATTCCACTTTGTGGCCCCATTTCTGAGGTTGGCTCTGCATCTCGTGGTGCCAGAGCGCAGTCTGTTCAGCGCCTTCCAAGTCGCCCAGTCTTCTGTGTGCCCAGGGGGGAGTCTCTCATCTGGTATCACCCATGGATTGAGGTGCTGGGTTTGGGCCTGCCACTTTTGGACTCTCGCTTGCTGGGGTGTTCCAGCGAGTGTCTCTGTAGATCTAAGAAAACTATGTCTTGATTTAAGTCGTTGACGTGCTGGCTGATACCCAAACAGGGGATGAGCTGGAGATGTCTCTGCCTTGGTCCTTTCACTATTGGCTGCTACTTCCCGGCGGATGTCAGGTGGTGCAATACCGGCTAAGCAGTGTAATTTCTCCAGTAGTGTGGGGCGCAGACACCCTGTGATAATGCGGCATGTCTCATTAAGAGCCACATCCACTGTTTTAGTGTTCCACACTGGGCATGCATACTCGGCAGCAGAGTAGCATAGCGCAAGGGCAGATGTCTTCACTGTATCTGGTTGTGATCCCCAGGTTGTGCCAGTCAGCTTTCATATGATATTGTTTCTAGCACCCACTTTTTGCTTGATGTTCAGGCAGTGCTTCTTGTAGGTCAGAGCACGGTCCAAAGTGACTCCCAGGGATTTGGGTGTATTGCAATGCTCCCGTGGGATTCCTTCCCGGGTCATCCTCAGAGCTCGGGATGCTTGTCTGTTCTTAAGGTGAAAGGCGCATGTCTGTGTTTTAGATGGATATTAAATAACGTTCATTTGCATGATGCTCCAGCTTACCGCAAGGCATTCCTCTCCTTTTCATTTCACCACAAGAGAGAAAATCCAATTTTACTCTTCTTTTTCATTGGACTTCTATCGTCTACCTGGATTTTTGATCTACCTAGACAAGTGTTTGAGCCTGAAAGTTCCTCTTTACACCTCATCAATTGGGTTGATTTTGTTTTTAATTTTCCTTTCTGATATATTTTTACTAATGCTGTTATTTGCTGTTGTTTGATCAACGGGAGGAAACGGCGATGCTAGGACTTTGTAAAGTTTACTCTGTTCATCGATGCCAAAAAATTAAAGGAAGTTTTGGTCAAATGGCCAGATACTTTTGCTCTAGGCAGACATTAAACTCATTCATTATTTAACAGAATACCTGGCCGGACGGGCCTCTTGGATCTCGGAGAGCTTCGTGTGGATGAGGCAGAGTCCTGCGAAGGAAGAAAGGACACGGAGAGGCATTAAGGCACAAAGGACAGATCAGACTTAGCCCTCATGACCCACTTTAAGAATGGGTGGGATGGACCTTGGACGATGGGAGTTGTAGTCCATCCACAATCAGAGAGCACTGTGAACCCCATCGAAGACAGATCTGGACCGAAATTGAGACACAAACCCAACATGGCCCACTTCACATGCTTGGCAAGATTTAGGGGATTGACTGAGAATGATGGGAGTTGTAGTCCACCCACAACCCAAGCACTGTGAACCCCACCAAAGATGGATCTGGACCAAACTTTGCATACAGACCCAACATGAACTACTTTAAATACTTGCAAGGTTCAGAGGACGGACCGAAAATGATGGGAGTTGTAGTCCACCCACTGCTAGACCATTGTGAACCCCACCGAAGACAGACTTGGACCAAACTTGGCACACAGACCCAACATGGCCCTCTTTTCATACTTGGCAAGATTTAGGGGACTGACTGAGAATGATGGGAGTTGTAGTCCACCCACAACCCAAGCACTGTGAACCCCACCGAAATACTTGCAAGGCTTAGAGGACAGACTGAGAATGATGGAAGTTGTAGTCCACCCACAACCAGAGCACTGTGAACCCCACCAAAGACCGACCTGGACCAAACTTGGCACACAGACCCAACATGGCCCACTTTACATACTTGGCAAGATTTAGGGGACTGACTGAGAATGATTGGAGTTGTAGTCCACCCACTGCTAGAGCACTGTGAACCCCACCGAAGACAGACCTGGACCAAATTCGGCACACACACCCAACATGCATGGCAAGGTTTGTGGGACTGACTGAGAATGATGGAAGTTGTAGTCCATCCACAACCAGAGCACTGTGAACCCCACCGAAGACAGACCTGGACCAAACTTGGCACACAGACCCAACATGGCCCACTTTACGTAATTGGCAAGATTTAGGGGACTGACTGAGAATGATGAGAGTTGTAGTCCACCCACTGCTAGAGCATTGTGAACCCCACCGAAGACAGACCTGGACCAAACTTGGTACACGGACCCAACATGGCCCACATTACATACTTGGTAAGGTTTGGGTGTCTCGCTGAGAATGATGGGAGTTGTAGTTCACTCACAATCAGGGCACTGTGAACCCCACTGACAATGGATCTGGACTGAGCTTTGCACACAGACCCAATATGACGCAATGCTGACGTGGATCATAGACCCATCATGACCCACTTTAACTAAAACTAACTTTGGCACGAAGTTGATGCTCTCTTTGTGTTTATTTACCTGGGAAGACAAAGATGAAGCAGGCGGCCAGCCCGCCGATGAGGGAGATGACCTTCCCGATGTCCGGGATGAAGAGGGCCAGGAGGAGCGTCAGGAGGAACCAGGTCCCCGTCTGGGCCCAGCGCCGGCGCCGCTCCCGCCCCACGTCCTCCTCCACCGCCTCCCCCTTGAAGCGCAGCCACAGGCCCTCCAGCACCGCCCTGCAACGCAAGGGGACACGCCTAGGGGGTCACCCACGGGCCTGGCCAACACACCCTCACACCCACCCACCACCCCCAAGTTACAAACAAGATTGGATATATATATGTGTGTGTTTTATATACAGGCAGTCCCCAAGTTTAGTGTATGTGTGTGTATACACATACATACACACAGGTAGTCCCCAAGTTACGAACAAGAGAAGTTCTGTAGGTTTACTCTTAAGTTGAATTTGTTTGTAAGTCGGAACAGGGACATTTCTTAGGTGTCATTACAAGATATATACATATACATACACCTTCCCTATACTATCCAACACACACACACACGTGTGTGTGCTATATATATATATATATATATATATATATATATATATATATATATATATAAATATATGTGTGTGTGTGTGTGTGTGTGTGTGCGCATTTTTTCTTTATATAAATCAGAACAGGTATTTTTAAACATAACTCCAGCCATACATACATATACACACAAACACATACAGACACATGTATATGTGTTCTGGATAGCATAGGGAATGTGTATTTAAATGTAAATATCTGTTTTTATATGAGTTTTTTATATAAGTCAGAACAGGTACATTTTTAAGTGTAACTCCAGCCATATATATATATATGGCTGGAGTTACGCTTAAAAATGTTCATAACTCGAGGACTGCCGGTGTATAAAACTAATACGCACACACACACACACACACACATCTCAATTCCAGATAGCACAGTGTGTGTGTGTGTGTATATACATACACACACACACATATCTCAATTCCAGATAGCACAGTGTGTGTGTATATATATATATATATATATATACACACACACACCTCAATTCCAGATAGCAGTGTGTGTGTATACACACACACACATCTCAATTCCAGATAGCACAGATAGCACACACACACACACATATATACATATACACACACACACTCTATGCTATCTGGAATTGAGATCTATGTGTGTGTGTGTGTGCCTACATATTAAGTTTTGTACACCGGCAGTCCTCGAGTTATGAACAAGAGAGGTTCTGCAGGTTTGTTCCTAAGTTTAATTTGTTTGTAAGTTGGAACCATGACATTTTTAAGTGTAAGTTCACACACACACACACACACACACACACACTGCATGCTTTGGATGGCATACGAAAATATTAACACCCTTGTGGTGTCTGTTCTGCTGTCTGAGTCCCTGTTCATAGAATCATAGACTCCGAGAGTTGGAAGAGACTCATGGGTCATCCAGTCCAACTCCATTCTGTGAAGAAGAAGGAAAATTGCAATCAAGCACTCCCGACAGATGGCCATCTAGCCTCTGCTTCAAAGCCTCCAAAGATGGAGCCTCAACTACACTTTGGGGCAGAGAGAGAGTTCCACTGTTGAATTATTATTATTATTATTATTATTATTATTATTATTATTATTATTATTTACTCCATTTGTATACCGCATTTATCAGCCTGGAGCGGCGACTCAATGCGGTTTACAGTAAAAATAAACAGTGAACAATATATAAGACGCACATCCACAAACAATACACATAATCATCGACGCCTACTTAGAATCAGATCCCGTTCTCATAGTCCTTAATTCAATCCTTGTTCAATGCCGTCATTATTGGGTGGTTGTTACTGCATAGTTAACCGAATGCCTGCTCATAGAGCCACGTCTTAACCCTCCTTCGAAACACCAGCAACGAAGGGGCCTGCCTGATGTCCACTGGTAACGCATTCCATAGCCGAGGGGCCACTACCGAGAAGGCCCTGTCTCTCGTGCCCGCCAATCGCACTTGTGACGCTGGCGGGACCGAGAGCAGGGCCTCCCCGGACGATCTTAACGCCCTTGCCGGTTCATAGGTGGAGATGCGTTCGGAGAGGTAAGTGGGGCCGGAACCGTGTAGGGCTTTATAGGCTAAAGCCAGCACCTTAAATTGTGCTCGGTAGCAAATTGGCAGCCAGTGGAGCTGGTTCAGCAGGGGGGTCTCCTTGCTTTCCTGCCGTTTGACACCATTGCTCCATTGTGTCCTAGTCTCCAGGGCAGCAGAAAGGAAGCAATAAGAAGTCAGGCATAGAAATCTTAGGGACCAGCTACGGAGCTCACGGGTCTCCCATCCACTAGGCGCTGTTGTTGTTGTTGTTGTTCCTCCCTGTTGTGTACTCACCGTCCGCAGAAGTGGAGGATGGGGTATGAGGTGAGGACGCAGAGGATGATGAAGGCTCTGGCGATAGCCACAGGGACGTCACTGGACGGGTAGGACATGAGCACGTCCTGATCCACCCGGGAGCCAAAGGTCAGGAAGCCACAGACCCCTGGCAAAGGAAGGAAGGAAGGAAGGAAGGACATGTGTCTCAGCCTCAGAAGGACTTTTGAAATCTTAAAATGTTCTTTTAATTTCATTTCCAGTGAGACAACTTGATTTAGGTAGAAGGAAAATGCACAGACTATATACGAGGGGTATTTTTAAAGTAAAGTCCGTTTGTTGTAGACACTAGTAGTTTGCGCGCATACCACAACGAGTGTATGCGTGGTGTACCGGCATGCCTCTGGAACAACTGTGCTCAGTTTCCGCTCTGTAGCTCACCTGTACGGTTCTGTTCTGTGCTTTAAAAATGTTTAAGACTATCAACTCACCGCCGCATGTGAGGTTCGCTCAGTGATACGGTTTTTGTCAGCAAGGAACCTGCCTGCTGCAGAAATTCATCGACAGATTTGTGAAGTGTACGGTGATACTGTTATGAGTGAAAGCAAAGTGCGTAAGTGGGTACGACAATTCAAAGATGGCCGTGACAACGTCCATGATGAGGACCGCTCCGGTCGCCCTTCTTTGATTACAGACGATTTGGTGGCTTCAGTTGAAGCAAGGATTCGTGAGAACAGGCGCTTCACAATAACAGGTCTCTCAAACGAATTTCCTGACGTGTCGAGATCAGTGCTTTACAACATTGTTTCTGAACGCCTAAAGTTTAGGAAACTGTGCTCCCGTTGGGTCCCGAAACTCCTAACAGAGGACCACAAAAACCAAAGATTTGAGTGTGCGATCAAATCAAATCGTCTGTAATCAAAGAAGGGCGACCGGAGCGGTCCTCATCATGGACGTTGTCACGGCCATCTTTGAATTGTCGTACCCACTTACGCACTTTGCTTTCACTCATAACAGTATCACCGTACACTTCACAAATCTGTCGATGAATTTCTGCAGCAGGCAGGTTCCTTGCTGACAAAAACCGTATCACTGAGCGAACCTCACGTGCGGAGGGTGAGTTGATAGTCTTAAACATTTTGAAAGCACAGAGCAGAACCGTACAGGTGAGCTCAGAGCGGAAACTGAGCACAGTTGTTCCCAAGATATGCCGGTACACGACGCACGCGCTCGTTGCGGTATGCGTGCGAACTACTCGTGTCTCCAACAAAACGGACCTTACTTAAAAAATACCCCTCGTATAACTACTAGGGGTGTGCAATTTTTTCATTAGTCGTTGTAAATTGCATCAAATTTGTTAAATTTGTACTTACAACACGTACTTCCCCTCCCAATGGCGACAGGCAATCTTAAATGAAAGAGGAATGCCCTCTTTGGCTTTGCACCAACTGACTTTGGGAGACTTACGAAGTTTACTGAACTGTAACGAAAAGCCACAGGCGAGTGTTATGATTCTAAAGTCTTTTTTGCGTGGGAACCCCTCACGTTTCTTAATATTGCCTCATAGGTACACATCTTATGAAATAATATGACCTACGAGGCACAAACGACCTTGTTGCACAGCCCTATTGGTTACATAAACAAAGAAGGGGAAACATTCACATACACTCCAACATTCATTCATTCATTCACTCTCCATGCATACATTACCATCCCTTCTTCCGTATGGTCAATGGCTCTCTTCCCGGACAACCTAATAGAGGCTAAAGAAGCCTAACTTGGATCCCATGACGCTTGCCAATTATCGTCCTGTCTCTAACCTTCCATTCTTAGGCAAGATGATAGAGCGGGCTGTACTGGGACAATTGCAACAAGTTTTGGATGACATGGTCGGTCAGGTTTTTGTCCTGGCCATGGGACGGAGACAGTCCTGGTTGCCATTACAGATGAACTTCATCGCCAGTCTGATAATGGTGGATCAGCACTACTGGTACTTCTCGACCTTACTGCAGCGTTTGATACCGTTGACTACGACCTAATAATTCACCGTCTTGCCATGTCTGGAGTTCACGGTCAGGCCCTCAATTGGTTCAACTCATTTCTCCGAAACCGGAGCCAATGCGTGGAGTATATGGATCAAGTCTCTGAAAGATCTCCCCTCCTATGTGGGGTACCCCAAGGTGCAATTCTCTCCCCTCTTCTCTTCAACATCTATGTTAGACCCCTTGCTAGTTTGGCTCGGAGTTTCGGCCTAGACTGCTATCAATATGCGGACGACACCCAACTCCTTCTGCGTTTGGAGCCTGGAGCAACGTCAATACCAGACAATTTCACCTTATGTCTGGAGGCTCTGTCGAACTGGCTACGTGCTAGCAGACTAAAGGTGAACCCAGCGAAGACTGAGATTCTTTGGCATGGCCGCTCGATTGGTCTGACCCATTTGCTACCCACCTTCGATGGTGCTGCCCTATCTCCTTCGCCTACCGTTAAGAGCTTGGGTGTCGTTTTGGATTTGCAGCTGACAATGGAAGTTCAGGTTGCTGCTGCCAGCAAACAGGCCTTTTTCCATCTACGACAAGCGAAGCAATTGGCACTCTACCTATCTGATGAGGCTCTGGCAACAGTCATCCATGCCACGGTCACATCTAGGCTGGACTATTGCAACGCCCTGTATGTTGGCCTTCCGATGTCTACGACCCGAAAGCTCCGTATTGTTCAGAATGCGGCAGCCAGGCTACTCACAAGAACACCCATGAAATGCCATATAACACCAGTGTTGCGGCATTTGCATTGGCTTCCAACTGATTACCGTGGTCTATATAAGATGCTAGTTCTGACCTTTAAAATTCTTTACAGCCAGGGTCCATCGTACCTTAGGGACCGTCTCTCCTTCTCCCATCATCGTAGGTCGCAACAACCATCCCAATGCGACTTACTTTATATACCAGGTCCTAGAGAAGTTCACTTGGAAAGGACCAGGCGCAGGGCTTTCTCTATTTCTGCCCCTGCCTTGTGGGATTCCTTGCCGCCCTATATGAGAGCCATGCGTGAGTTAGGGCCTTTTACTCTAGCACTTAAGACCTGGCTTTTTACTAGAGCTTTATGATCTATGTTAATTTATCAGTATCTATATGTATGTATTTTTATCCTTTACAATTTAGCTTGTAAATCGCCTAGAGCATCTTGGATGGAGGGCGATTAATAAGTAATTCAATATGATGATGATGATGGTGGAGAAGAGAACATGAGTCAGATTGTTTTGCCTGCAAATCTGCCATTCTGCCGAATACACCATATACTCCATCCTTTAAAAAAAAGGGGGGGGGAGCGGGGGTAAACAGGCTCTGCTGTCTGTCACACTTTTGGATTGTAAAAAGGTCTCTTCTATAGCATATTTCTTGCTGATGTTGTTCCAAAAAGTTGTAAATGGTGGCCAGGTTGTTTGGTATGCTACAGCAAGCTTACCAAACTGACTCCATCAGTTCCTGCACAAATTTTGCCTTTTCTTCCTTCTTAACTGGTTTTGGTTTTCCTTCTTAACGCAAGGAACCATTGTGTTGACTTAAAGAATCATTGTCTTTTGACTCTGTAAACATGTTGTTTTCAACCCAAGAGTTAATCACTATATCTGATAATCAGTCTCAGCAGTTCATGAATTCTTCACCTCCTTTTGTAAGTTTTTTCCTGGCCTCAATCTTCTTAGGGTGGTGTCTTCAGTCTTGGGCAGACCCCATTCACACAATTTCATTCAACCCACACATCATGTGGGGATCAACCCAGGCCAAATGGGGCCTCCCTTCCGTACCTGTACCAATGTAAACAAAGAGGGCGATGACCATGGCTGCCGTCACGACTGCTCCCCAAGGTTTCAGCTCTGGGTGCTTCATGCTGTTGAAGACAGGGACGCTGCTGACGTGGCACTTTAGGAAAGAAAGAGAACATGGAGGCTTGCGTCCGGAGGATTCACCAGGAAGGGTAGCATAAAACATGGTTTTATTGATTCTGTTATGGTTTTATTATCCGATTGTTTTATTATATTGAAATTGTATTTTACCATCTTGGTACCAACTGTAAACCGTCCCGAGTCGCTTGTGGGCTGAGAGGGATGGTATATAAATGCAGTAAGTAAATAAATAAATTGGGAGTTTTGTCGTCAATGTCTATAGGAAAATGCTGGCCCTCCTTCCTTCTCACCTCTCGACACGAGAAGGCACGCGGAGAGCTTTTTCCAACTGAACTACTATTTGAGATGTTAAAAAACAGTACTGAATAAGCACTGTGCTGTTTGCTGAGTTTAGAATTCATAGAATTATGGAATCTAAGAGATGAATGGGACCCCCAAAGGCCATCCAGTCCAAGATGAGGCTCCGGAATGCCTCTCCTGTCCCAAGCTTTTCCTAAGCACAATGGCATCAGTATTATTAGGCAAAAAACAGGAAACAACCCCAAATCGGGGAAGACCTCCACCCCAGCCTGAACAAACCTTACCTGGAAGCCAAAGCAGATGGTAGGCATGGCGTTGAACACGGACATCCAGGAGGAAGGTCTGCGGGAGGAAAAACACTTCAGCTGGTGCAAAACATTTAATATAGAATCATAGTTGGTGCATACAAGAAGTGTCCAGCCATTTAAAAATGCCATGCTTTGACTTGCTCTGGTGATTTTGGCCATCTGCGAGGAGGGTTTAGATGGTGCTTTCCTGCCTGGCAGAAAGAAGGAAAGGGGTTGGACTAGATGGCCTTTGGGTGCCCCATCCAACTATGTGTGCAGTCCAAGGCTGGGTTTGGAGTGGCTTGCTTGTCTGGATTAATATGTATCTTTTATAGAAATACATTTCAATATGTGTATTTACTATTATTATTATTTCCCTGAAATAATGCTAGGACCACATCCTGGTCATTTCTTTTCTCCATCCATCAGTAAAACTACGGGGCAGTCTCTCTTCCTCGCAAACAATGGTAGAAGACCGACTCTGAATTGTTGCTGCTCTTTCGAAAGGGCTAGCGCTAGAAAAAAATAGAAAATTGCCAGCAGAAAATAAAGTTCAGACAAAGTTTTGCATACACTGTGAAAGAGTTCAAGAATAGGGAAAAGAAGGAAAGCAACTGCAGAGACAACACTGGTAAGAGATGCTCAAAGGTATTGACAATAACACTAATAATAACAACAACAATATTATTATTTCTTACTTGCCTTTCCTTGTGGCTTGAGGTGGATCACGCCACCATTAAAACACACAAACATTGCAAACTTTCTACAGACATATTATTAAAATGTAGTTCTATAAAAGGTATATACGAAAACATTTTTCTATAAAATACATATTCAATCAGAGATTAAACACAGGACACGAGTTTAAAATTCATGCTTAAAACTTAAAGCTGAATGGCACCTCAATTCAGTACGGCACTTTCCACCCAGCAAGATGGCTTGATCAAATAAACCTGTCACAATAATTGCCTGTTTTACAGTGTTGGATTGAATCAAAAACTCTGAAGATTTTTAGGAAAAGGGTCCCAACACTTTTCCTAAATGTCGGTGTACAGGAGTTGATTATAAATTGTATGATTTTAATTGTATTTGTGTTTAGATTGGCTGCAGTAATGCTGGAGCGGCCTAAGTCAGAGGAGTCCTCCATGTGCATTGCCATGGAGACCGATGCAAGAGAGAGGGAAATGGGAGGAGCTTAGAGGGGAGAGTTTGAAAAAACAACAGTTAAAAATCAGTTAGAGTCTCAAGAAAACAAAAAGAGGAGAAAAAAGGAAGTAAGAGGAGTCATGTGTGGCCATGGAGACCGATGCAGGAGAGAGGGAAGTGGGAGGAGCTTAGAGGGGAGAGTTTGAAAAAACGACAGTTAAAAATCAGTTAGGGTTTAGGTTTAGAGGAGTGAGCAGTCCGGGTTTAGGTTCAGAGGAGTCAGGAGTTAGGTTCAGAGGAGTGAGGAGTTAGGAGTTGGGAGAGAAGGAAAGGAAAGGTGGCGGAGTGACTTGTGAAGCAAAGCTTTGAGGCTTTGAAAAGCTGGGTTTGGCTATTGGAAGTTTCTCAGGCTAGTGCAGCCGAATGGTGAAACATAGCTGGTATTCTTTTAGTCTAAGGAGAGGCTAAATAATAGTTTACTTAGTATTTGATCTAGGGAGGATCAACTAAGGGAAACATCCCTGTATGGAAACTTTGTCTGAAACAAGTGCTCTACGTCAGAAAGATACTGTGTTACTTGAAAGAATGAACTGTTAAAGTTACAAGTATTATTCCAAGTGCAACAAGGAAAAGTTACGTCTTGCAACCACACGCTGTGTACTTAATAAAATTGTTAACTTTTATTTGAAGATTGCCTCAGCTCCGTCTATTCTGTGTACAAAGTGCCATTTCTCACAATATTACAACTTACCTCACGTGGTGGCAGAAACGTAGGGAAAAGTAACCAAATAAATCTACATTCTTCTCTCCAGTCACGCTACAGTATATACAGTGTAATTATTACTAAGTTATTACTTTCTTAATAAAAGAGGAGGTGCAATTGAACAGCCTCCCTTCCAACTTGATGGTAAATGTGGTTCCTAATCGGCAACCTCCATTGCAAATTGGCCAGTTCATTTTAAAATTGGGAACTGGGGTAAAATCTCCTGAATACTGGTTCTTTTCAAATTGGTGGCAACAATAAATAATCCCTCAGCTCTCTTGCTTCTTTTCAGTCGGCGCTCAAAGCTAATATAATAATAATAATAATAATAATAATAATAATAATAATAATAATAACAACCTCATTTCCTTCATACCTGGTTGGAATGTCTTCTGGGCTGATGGCTTGATCAGGCCAAATGTACCTGATGATGATGATGGCAGTGACGTACCAGGTCCCCACCACACTCAGGGCACTGGGCAAGAAAGAAAGGCGTAACAGTACAGGTCGTCCCCAAGTTACAAACACCTGACTTACAGATGACTCCTAGTTAAGAGCGGGAGTGAGGCAACAAGAAGTGAGAGGAATCTCCCCCTTGGAAGGAAACTAAATCCCCTCCTAAAGAGATATTATAATGGGGGAAAGGGGTCTCCATCGAAGCTATAGCCCCCAATCCTCGTTTCCACAAGCCACGTTTTCCAAAATCCTATTCTCACAGGGACAGAAAGTGAGGTGGGATCTTCTGAAAAGAGGCACAGGCAGCAAAGGAAACATATTCACCCTTCCCATCCATAGCTATGAACAATAGAAAGATGGATATTTGGCTGGTGTTATACTTAAGAAAGATGCCCGTTTCAACTTACATACAAATTCAACTTAAGAACAAACCTTGTTTGTTACTTGGGGATGGCCTGTATATAAAACACAAACACACACACACACACCTATATCAAGCTATCTATCTACACACTCACACACATATACCTACAATGTATCATCGAAGGCTTTCATGGCCAGAATCACTGGGTTGTTGTAGGTTTTTTCGGGCTCTATGGCCATGTTCTAGAGGCATTCTCTCCTGACGTTTCACCTGCATCTATGGCAAGCATCCTCAGAGGTAGTGAGGTATGTTGGAACTAGGAAAATGGGGTTTATATATATCTGTGGAATGACCAGGGTGGGACAAAGGACTCTTGTCTGCTGGAGCTAGGTGTGAATGTTTCAACTGACCACCTTGATTAGCATTTGATAGCCTGGCAGTGCCTGGGGCAATCTTTTGTTAAGAAGTGATTAGGTTAGATCTGGACCAAACCTGGCACGAATACTCAGTATGCCCAAATGTGAACACTGGTGGAGTTTGAGGGGAATAAATAGACCTTGACGTTTGGGAGTTGCAGTTACTGGGATTTATAGTTCACCTACAATCAAAGAGCATTCTGAACAATTCCAACGATTGAATTGGGCCAAACTTCCCACACAGAACCTCCATGACCAACAGAAAATACCAGTATTAAAAAAAATTATAAAATTACAACAGCAAAACAGCAGAGGGAAAACATTTAAGGACATCTAATCACCTCTCAACAAAAGATTGCCCAGGCACTGCCAGGCCATCAAATGCTAATCAAGGTGGTGAGTTGAAACATTCACACCTAGCTCCAGCAGACAAGAGTCCTTTGTCCCACCCTGGTCATTCCACAGATATATAAACCCTTTTTCCTAGTTCCAACAGACCTCACTACCTTTGAGGATGCTTGCCATAGATGCAGGCGAAACGTCAGGAGAGAATGCCTCTAGACCATGGCCATATAGCCCGAAAAAACCTACAACAACCCATATACATACAATTCACACATATTATATATATATATGACTGGACTCACACTTTGAAAATGTCTCTGTTCCAACTTACATACAAATTAAACTAAAAAAGAAACCTACCAAACCTCTATTGTTCGTAACTTGGGGACTGACTGTATGCAAAACAAACACACACATACGTACACATATACTAATATATATTAGTTCCAGATATCATAGGGAAGGATGGATATATATATATATACTGTATATACTTGAGTATAAGCCTAGTTTTTCAGCCCCTTTTTTAGGCTGAAAAAGCTCCCATCGGCTTATACTCGAGTCTAGGTTATTTATTATTTTACTGTTATTAGTATTATTTTCATTTCATGTATTATTTTACTCACTTTATTATTATTATTATTATTATTACATTTACAGTATTTTACCCTATTATTATTATGATTATTATTACATTTATTATTTTACACTATTTATGAATATTATTACATTTATTATTTTACTTTATTATTGTTGCATTTATTATTTTACAGTATTTTACAGTATTTTACCTTATTATTATTATTATTACATTTATTATTTTACACTATTTATGAATATTATTACATTTATTATTTTACTTTATTATTGTTGCATTTATTATTTTACAGTATTTTACAGTATTTTACATTATTATTATTACATTTATTATTTTACACTATTTACGATTATTATTACATTTATTATTTTACTTTATTATTGTTGCATTTATTATTTTACAGTATTTTACCTTATTATTATTATTATTACATTTATTATTTTACACTATTTATGAATATTATTACATTTATTATTTTACTTTATTATTGTTGCATTTATTATTTTACAGTATTTTACAGTATTTTACCTTATTATTATTATTATTATTATTATTACATTTATTATTTTACACTATTTACGATTATTATTACATTTATTATTTTACTTTATTATTGTTGCATTTATTATTTTACAGTATTTTACCTTATTATTATTATTATTACATTTATTATTTTACACTATTTATGAATATTATTACATTTATTATTTTACTTTATTATTGTTGCATTTATTATTTTACAGTATTTTACCCTATTATTATTTTACACTCTTTATGAATATTACATTTATTATTTTACTTTATTATTGTTGCATTTATTATTTTACAGTATTTTACCTTATTATTATTATTATTACATTTATTATTTTACACTATTTATGAATATTATTACATTTATTATTTTACTTTATTATTGTTGCATTTATTATTTTACAGTATTTTACAGTATTTTACCTTATTATTATTATTATTACATTTATTATTTTACACTATTTATGAATATTATTACATTTATTATTTTACTTTATTATTGTTGCATTTATTATTTTACAGTATTTTACAGTATTTTAGCTTATTATTATTATTATTACATTTATTATTTTACACTCTTTATGAATATTACATTTATTATTTTACTTTATTATTGTTGCATTTATTATTTTACAGTATTTTACCTTATTATTATTATTATTACATTTATTATTTTACACTATTTACGATTATTATTACATTTATTATTTTACTTTATTATTGTTGCATTTATTATTTTACTCTATTATTACATTTATTATTCTACTCTATTAATACTGTTATTATTGCATTTCCATTATTTTACTCTCTTTATTATTGTTGGAAAGATACGTAAGAAGATATGTAATGATTTAATCAGCGTTGGGCAGTCTTATCTCAAATTAGAGTTTTATGTAAATATTAAAAAAAAAAATTCACCTCCTGATGCCTCAATTAATGTAATTTTATTGGTATCTATTTTTATTTTGAAATTTACTTGTAGTGGCTGCATTTCCTACCCTTGGCTTATACTCGAGACTCGAGTCAATATGTTTTCCCAGTTTTTTGTGGTAAAATTAGGTGCCTCGACTTATTTTTGGGTCGGCTTATACTCAAGTATGTTGTTGTTGTTCATTCGTTCAGTCGTCTCCGACTCTTCGTGACCTCATGGACCAGCCCACGCCAGAGCTCCCTGTCGGCCGTTACCACCCCCAGCTCCCTCAAGGTCAGTCCAGTCACTTCAAGGATGCCATCCATCCGATCTTGCCCTTGGTCGGCCCCTCTTCCTTTTGCCTTCCACTTTCCCCAGCATAATTGTCTTCTCTAGGCTTTCCTGTCTCCTCATGATGTGGCCAAAGTACTTCAACTTTGTCTCTAGTATCCTTCCCTCCAAGGAGCAGTCGGGCTTAATTTCCTGGAGGATGGACTGGTTGGATCTTCTCGCAGTCCAAGGCACTCTCAGCACTTTCCTCCAACACCACAGTTCAAAAGCATCTATCTTCCTTCGCTCAGCCTTCCCTAAGGTCCAGCTCTCACATCCGTAGGTGACTACAGGGAATACCATGGCTTTGACTATGCAGATCTTTGTTGCCAGTCTGATGTCTCTACTCTTTACTATTTTATCGAGACTGGACATTGCTCTCCTCCCAAGAAGTAAGCGTCTTCTGATTTCCTGGCCACAGTCTGCATCTGCAGTCATCTTTGGCGCCTAGAAATACAAAGTCTGTCACGGCCTCCACGTTTTCTCCCTCTATTTTCCAGTTGTCAATCATTCTTGTTGCCATAATCTTGGTTTTTTATGTTTAGCTGCAACCCAGCTTTTGCACTTTCTTCTTTCACCTTGATTAGAAGGCTCCTCAGCTCCTCCTCGCTTTCGGCCATCAGAGTGGTGTCATCTGCATATCTGAGGTTGTTAATGTTTCTTCCAGCAATTTTCACCCCAGCTTTGCATTCATCCAGCCCCACACATTGCATGATGTGTTCTGCATACAAGTTAAAAAGGTTGGGTGAGAGGATGCAGCCTTGCCGTACGCCTTTCCCAATCTGGAACCCGTCTCCTGTTCCGTGGTCAGTTCTGACTGTTGCTCCTTGGTCCTTGTACAGATTCCTCAGGAGAGAGGGAAGGGGGCTTGGGATGCCCATCCCACCAAGAACTTGCCACAATTTATTATGATCCACACAGTCAAAGGCTTTAGAATAGTCAATGAAGCAGAAGTAGATGTTTTTCTGAAACTCCCTGCCTTTCTCCATTATCCAGCGGATATTGGCAATCTGGTCTCTCGTTCCTCTGCCTTTTCTAAACCCAGCTTGAACATCTGGCCACTCTCGCTCCATGTATTGCTGGAGTCTTCTTTCTTGCAGGATCTTGAGCATTACCTTACTGGCATGAGAAATAAGGGCCACTGTACGGAAGTTTGAGCAGTCTTTCGCATTTCCCTTTTTTGGTATGGGGATATAAGTTGATTTTTTCCAGTCTGATGGCCATTCTTGTGTTTTCCATATTTGCTGGCATGGCATGCATCACCTTGACAGCATCATCTTTCAAGATTTTAAACAGTTCAGCTGGGATCCCGTCGTCTCCTGCTGCCTTGTTGTTAGCAATGCTTCTTAAGGCCCATTCAACCTCACTCCTCAGGATGTCTGGTTCTAATTCATTCACCACACCGTCAAAACTATCCTCGATATTGTTATCCTTCCTATACAGATCTTCTGTATAGTCTCGCCACCTTCTCTTGATCTCTTCAGCTTCTGTTAGGTCCCTGCCATCTTTGTTTCTTATCATACCAATTTTTGCCTGAAATTTACCTCCAATGTTTCTAATTTTCTGGAAGAGGTCTCTTGTCCTTCCTATACTCAAGTATATACGGTATATATATATATATGGCTGGTGTGTCACTTAAGAAATGTCCCTGTTCCGACTTACATACAAACCCAACTTAAGAACAAGCCTACAGAGCCAATCCTGTACGTCGCTCGCTCTGTCCCTCCGTGTCTATAGTCTTTTCTCTTTGTGCCTACCTGGCGTACTTCTGGAAGCCGATCTCCTTGGGGAGGGAGAGGGGCAGGATGAGCAGGAAGGCCGTCAGGCTGATGGTGAACTTCCGGTCAGTGTACCAGCGCTCTGTCCCCGGGGGGTCCTTCACCAAGGCCGCAATGACTGGCCCAGGAGGGAAAGGGGAGGCCATAAGACGAGGGTTGGAAGAGAGAGACCCCCAAAGGACACCTAGTCCCACCCCCCTTCTTTCTGCCATTATTACGCGGGAAAAGCACCATCAATGCCCTCCCAACAGAAAGCCATCCAGCATCTGCATGACGACGATGATGATGATGATGATGATGATAATAATGAGAAGGGATCCCCCAAAGGTCATCCAGTCCAACCCCTTTCTGCCATTATGCAGGTAAAGCACCATCAATGCCCTCCCAACAGAAAGCCATCCAGCATCTGCATGACGACGATGATGATGATGATGATAATAATGAGAAGGGATCCCCCAAAGGTCATCCAGTCCAACCCCCTTCTGCCTTCATGCAGGGAAAGTACAATCAAATCCCTCCTGACAGAAAGCCTTCCAGCCTCTGCTTAATAATAGTAATAATAATAATAATAATAGCCCCAAATAATAATAATAATAATAGTAGTAGTAGTAGTAGTAGTAGTAGTAGTAATAATGGCCCCAAAGGCCATCCAGTCCAACCCCCTTCTGCCTTCATGCAGGGAAAGCACAATCAAAACACCCCTGGCAATAATAATACTAATACTAATAGTAATAATAATAATCCATTCCAACCCCCTTCTGCTAGGCAGGAAAAAGACCATCAAATCCCTCCTGACAGAAAGCCATCCAGCCTCTGCTTAATAAATAATAATAATAATAATAATAATAATGGAAGGGACCCCAAAGGCCATCCATTCCAACCTCCTTCTGCCAGGAAGGTAAAGCACAATCAAATCCCTCCTGATGGAAAGCCATCCAGGCTCTGCTTAATAATAATAATAATAATAATAATAATAATAATAATAATAATAGAGAAGGGACCCCCACCGCAAAGGCCATCTAGTCCAACCCCCTTCTGCTAGGTAGGAAAAAGACCATCAAATCCCTCCTGACAGAAAGCCTCTTATTATTAAGCCTCTGTTTAATAATAATAATAATAATAATAATGAGAAGGGGAACCCAAAGGCCATCCATTCCAAACCCTTTCTGTCAGGAAGGTAAAGCACAATCAAATCCCTCCTGATGGAAAGCCATCCAGGCTCTGCTTAATAATAGTATTAATAATAATAATAACAACAACAACAACAACAACAACAATAGAGAAGGGATCCCCCAAAGGCCATCCAGTCCAACCCCCTTCTGCCTTCATGCAGGGAAAGCACAATCAAATCCCTCCTGACAGAAAGCCTTCCAGCCTCTGCTTAATAATAGTAATAGTAATAATAATAATAATAATAGAGAAGGGACCCCCAAAGGCCATCCAGTCCAATCCCCTTCTGCCTTCATGCAGGGAAAGCACAATCAAAACGCCCCTTGGCAGTCAGCTATGTAGCCTCTACTTAATAGTAGTAGTAGTAGTAGTAATAATAATAATAATAATAGTAATAATAATAATAATAATAATAATGAACTCCAAAAGCCATGTAGTCCAACTCTATTCTGCCAAGCAGGAAAAGCACAATCAAATCCCTCCTGACAGAAAGCCTTCCAGCCTCTGCTTAATAATAATAATAATAATAGAGAAGGAACCCCTCAAAGGCCATCCAGTCCAACCCCCTTCTGCCAGGCAGGAAAAGCACAAATCCCTTCTGACAGAAAGCCACCCAGCCTTTGTTTAATAATAATAATAATAATAATAATAATAATAGAGAAGGGACCCCCACCCGTCCCAAACCCGCTTCCCAACACCAATTCCCAACCCACCCAACCCAATCAACCCCCCACCCCCCCACCCCCCAACCACCCAATAATACTACCCACCCACGTCAAACCCAATCCCCCTTACCCCTACCCAACCCCCCACCACCCACCCCCCATACCATCCCCCCCCCAACCCCCCCCAATCCCCACCCCACCCCAACCCAATGTCCCAACCCCCCCCCGCCCAACCCCTCCCAAAACCACCCCCCAACCTCAACCCATTCACCCCCAATACCCAAATTACCCCCCACCCAATCCCAACCCACTCCTGACCCCCCCACCCCCCCACCCAATACCCTGACTCCCACCCTTAGCCCCCCCTCCCCATAAACACCCCCCCAACCCAACCCCCCCCAAGCACGCCCCCCCAACCCAACCCCCCCCCACCCCCCACTCCAACCCCCCACCAATCCACCCCACCCACACCCCCCCCAACCAATAATAGCCCCAAACCCAACCCAATACCCACCCCCAAACCTTCCCCCACCATATACCCCACCCCAACCCCAAATCCCAAAAACCACCAAACCCAATTACCTCCCACCCCCGCCCAACCAAACCCCACTCACAAACCCAACCCCCAATACCTACCAACCCACACCCCCAAACCTCCCACCCCCCACCCAACCCACCAACCCAACCCAACCCACCCCCCCACACACCAATACCCACCCCAAACCCAGCACCCAATCCCCCCAATCCAACAACCAACCCACCCCCCCCCCCAATCCCACTCTACCCAACCCCACCTCCCCCACACCAACCCCAACCCCACCACCCAATCCCCAAATCCACCAATCCCCAGTACCCCACCCCCACCCCCCCCCCCACCCCCCCCCCCACCAAACCCCCCCCCAACCCCCCCCACAACTAATAGAGAAGGGACCCCCTGCCCAAAAGCCATCCAGTCCAACCTCCTTCAGCCAGGAAGGAAATGCACAATGAAAGCACCCCTGACAGAAGGCCATCCTACCTCTCCTTAATAATAAAAGAAAAGAGAACCCCAAAGGCTATCTAGTCCAACCCCCTTCTGCCTTCATGCAGGAAAACCACATTCAAAGCACCCCTAAACTTAATACTTAATAACAGTAATAGTAATAATAATAATAATAATAGAGAAGGAGTGCCCAAAGGCCATCCAGTCCAACCCCTTCTGCCTGGCAGGAAAATCCCCACCCAATCCCTCACTCACTCTTGTCCTGCTGGTCGCCGATGATGATGAGGAAGGCGATGCAGGTGCCGAAGGTGTAGACGGCGATGGCGACCTCGCAGAGCACGCCGGGGACCCTTCCGCAGACGGCCCAGACCACCTCCTGGTAGGTGCTCTCGTTGCTGGCCTGCGAGCAGTAGCCCAGGATGACCAGCCCCCCAATGATGAAGACCAGCATGCACTGCAAGGAGAGAGGCCCAGAAAAAGCCCGGTCAACTTTCCCACTTTACGCCTTGGAAGAGGATCCGTAAAGTCCCGTTGACACCATTCGGCCCCCCCTCCAGTTGCTTTGGACTGCAACTTTGCCCTTTTAGGTCTTTTGGACGTCAACTGCCACAATTCCAAACCAATTTCACTTCTTAACCATTCTTTCTGCCCTTCCAGAGGAACCGTGGACATGATCTTCACTGCATGACAGCTCCAAGAAAATTTGGAAATCTTCTATCGGACAGACCGCAAGCTATTTAACCTCAAGGCCAAAGACTGAAGGCCAAAACCAAGGTCACAACAACATCTGTTATAGAACACCAATATGCCGATGACAACGTAGTATGTGCACATTCAGAAGAAGACCTACAAGCCACTCTCAACACCTTCGCAGAAGCATACGAGAAGCTTGGCCTCTCATTGAACATTGAGAAAACCAAAGTGCTCTTCTAGCACTCACCAGCCAATCCTTCTCCAACACCACCTGAGCTCTGCAAGTGCAGCATTCTTTCGAATGAAGCAGAGAGTGTTTGAGGACTGGAGAAACATGCCAAGAGGAAGAAAGCTTGTCAAGCCAACCCTGACCGGGGCCGCCTTCCGTCTGGAAACCAATGTCCTCACTGCGGAAGTACATGTGGGTCCAGAATAGGGCTCTACAGCTATCTATGAACCCATCACCACCAAGACCCTGCACTTTGAAGGCAATCAGACTCGGACACAAGGGATTACCAATGATGAACGGCTGTTAGGAATGGTGGGAGTTGAAGTCCAAAACACATGGAGGGAGGAAGGGAGGGAGAAGGGTGTTGCTCACCATCTGGAGGGCGATCCCGGCCCCGACTCCGCCGGCCATGCTGAAGGCGGCGGGGAAGTTGAGCAGCCCGGCCCCGAGCGCGGCGTTCACCACGATGAAGACGGCCCCCAAGGCCGAGGTGGAGGCCGAGCCCCGACCCTCGCCCCCCTTCGGCCCCATGGCCACCATGGCCGTCTCCACGCAGGGGCTCTGCAGCAGGCGGGCCCGCTCCCCGGCCTCCGACCGGCCCCATTCCTCCCCATAGTCGCTGTTGATGCTCATCCCTGGCACTGAATGGAGGGAGACGGCCCTTCTCTCTGCGGGGACGGCGCCCTTCACATGCTCAAGGGAATACGCAGGAACACGCAAGCACCGCTGCTCATGTCTGTAGAGAGAAAGCATAATAATAATAATAATAATAATAATATAGATGCATATCCACTTTGAATAAATAAATAATGGAGATATAATATAATAATGATAATAATAATAATAATAATATAGATGCATATCCACTTTGAGTAAATAAATAATAGAGATATAATATAATAATGATAATGATAATAATAATATAGATGCATATCCACTTTGAGTAAATAAATAATGGAGATATAATGTAATAATGATAATGATAATATAGATGCATATCCACTTTGAGTAAATAAATAATGGAGATATAATGTAATAATGATAATGATAATATAGATGCATATCCACTTTGAGTAAATAAATAATGGAGATTTAATATAATAATGTTAATAATAATATAGATGCATATCCACTTTGAGTAAATAAATAATGGAGATATAATATAATAATGATAATGATAATAATAATAATATAGATGCATATCCACTTTGAGTAAATAATTAATGGAGATTTAATATAATAATAGTAATATAGATGCATATCCACTTTGAGTAAATAAATAATAGAGATATAATATAATAATGATAATGATAATAATAATAATATAGATGCATATCCACTTTGAGTAAATAAATAATGGAGATATAATGTAATAATGATAATGATAATATAGATGCATATCCACTTTGAGTAAATAAATAATGGAGATTTAATATAATAATGATAATGACAATAATAATAATATAGATACATACCCACTTTGAGAAAATAAATAATGGAGATATAATAATGATAATGATAATAATAGTAATATAGATGCATATCCACTTTGAGTAAATAAATAATGGGGATTTAATATAATAATAATGATAATAATAATAATATAGATACATATCCACTTTGAATAAATAATGGAGATATAATATAATAATGATAATAATAATGATAATGATAATATAGATGCATATCCACTTTGAGTAAATAAATAATGGAGATATAATATAATGATGATAATGATGATAATAATAATAATATAGATGCATATCCAGTTTGAGTAAATAAATAATGGAGATTTAATATAATGATGATGATGATAATAATAATAATAATAATAATAATAATATAGATGCATATCCATTTTGAGTAAATAAATAATGGAGATATAATATAATAATAATGATAATGATAATAATATAGATACATATCCACTTTGTGTAAATAAATAATGGGGATTTAATATAATAATGATAATGATAATAATAATAATATAGATGCATATCCACTTTGAGTAAATAAATAATGGAGATTTAATATAATAATGATAATGACAATAATAATAATATAGATGCATATCCACTTTGAGTAAATAATCATTAATTTAATATAATTTAATATATTATATTAATATAATAATAATAATAATAATAATAATAATAATAATAATATTAATGTGTGTATGTGTATACACCGACTAGGTAGATAGATACACTTTAGGCAAGTAGTTACTCATCTTGTTAAGTATCTACAGATCTGTATAGTAAACAATCCTAAGTTCTAATTACTGTTCCCACTTGCTGGACTGGCCGCCCCAAAGATTGTACAGGCCGCCCCCAAGTTACACACGTCCAACTGACAAACGACTCTCAGTTAAGAATGCGGCTGGACTGGGTGGCCGTCCCCGAGTTACAAACATCCGACTTACAAATGGCTCCTAATTCAGGACAGGGTTGGTCTGGATGCCCTTTGGGGCTCCCTTCCAAAACTAGGATACCATATCTATCACACACACACATATATACACACACATACATACATACACATGCATGCAGTGACCGAGTTACAAAAATCCGACTGACAAATGACTCAGTTAAGAATAGGGCTGGACTGGATGACCTTTGGGGAGCCCTTCCAAATCATATATATATATATATATACACACACACACACACACACGTTTTTAAGTCCAACTCCAGCCAAACATACATATGCATATATATACACGCACGCACACACATATATACATATACTTTGGAGAACATAGGGAAAGGTTGACATACATATGCATACCATTCCCTGTGCTATTCAAAGCTTGCATATGTATGTGTGTGTGTACATATACACACACACACATATACATACACACACACACACCATCCCCATGTTATAAACATCCAACTTTCAAGTGACCCATAATTAAGAATGGGGCTGGACTGGATGACCTTTGGGGCTCCCTTCCAAAACTAGGATACCATATCTATCACACACACACACACACATATATATACACACATACATGCAGTGCTCAAGTTACAAACATCCAACTGACAAACGACTCACAGTTAAGAATAGGGCTGGACTGGATGGCCTTTGGGGAGCCCTTCCAAATCATTCATACACAAACACACACACGTTTTAAGTCCAACTCCAGCCAAACATACATATGCATATATACACACACACGCGCGCGCGCACATACACATATATACATATACTTTGGAGAACATAGGGAAAGGTTGAGACATACATATACATACCATTCCCTGTGCTATCCAAAGCTTGCATGTGTGTGTGTGTGTGTACATATATATACACACACACATATACATACACACACACACCGTCCCCATGTTACAAACTTCCAACTTTCAAATGACTCATAATTAAGAATGGCGCTGGACTGGATGACCTTTGGGGCTCCCTTCCAAATCTATGATACTATATCTCAGATACATACATACACAGATAGATAGACAGACAGACATATGTATATGTATATACACACACATACAGGGCATCCACAAGTTACAAACATCCAACTTACGAACAACGCCTAGTTAATAGCAGGGCTGGACTGGATGGCCTTTGGGGCTCCCTTCCAAATCTATGATACTATATCTACGTATTGTGTATATATGTACACACAAACACACACATATACATATGCAAGCTTTGGATAGCACAGGAAATGGTATGTATATGTATATGTCTCAACCTTGGAACATATGTATATGTCTCAACCTTTCCCTATGTTCTCCAAAGCATATGTATGTATGTGTATATATGTATGTGTGCGCATATGTATGTTTGGCTGGAGTTGGACTTAAAAACATGGTCCTATTCCAACTTACATACAAATGCAACTGAAGAACAAACCTATAGAACCTCCCTTGTTTGTAACTTGGAGGCTGCCTGTATATAAAACTAATATACACACATAGATACACACACATATACAAACTAATGTATATATATATATATACACACATACATATACATACTAATGTATATATTAGTTTCGGATAGCACAGAGAAAGGTCTGTGTATACACGTATATATGTATGTATGCTTGGCTGGAGCTATACTTAAGAGACTAATATATGTGTGTGTGTATTTATTATTTATTATTTACGCTATTTGTATACCGCATTTATCAGCCGTGACCGGCGACTCAATGCGGTTTACAGTAAAAGTTGTGCACACTAACAATGTAAAGACAAACATACACAAACGACACACATATAGACATCAACGCCTCACATAAAATCAGATTCCGTTCTCACATTCCATTGCCGTTCCTTGTTCAGTTATGCCGTCTTCCTGGATTTAATTGCAATTGCACAGCTATCCGAACGCCTGCTCAAAGAGCCACGTCTTAACCCTCCTCCGAAACACCAGCAACGAAGGGGCCTGCCTGATGTCCGCTGGTAGGGCATTCCATAGCCGAGGGGCCACCACCGAGAAGGCCCTGTCTCTCGTCCCCGCCAACCGCGCTTGTGATGCCGGCGGGACCGAGAGCAGGGCCTCCCCGGACGATCTTAACGTCCTCGCCGGTTCATAGGTGGAGATGCGTTCGGAGAGGTAAGTGGGGCCGGAACCGTTTAGGGCTTTAAAGGCTAAAGCCAGCACCTTGAATTGTGCCCGGTAGCAGATTGGTAGCCAGTGGAGCTGGCGCAGCAGAGGAGTTGTATGCTCCCTGAGTGCCGCTCCTGTTAGTATCATGGCTGCCGAACGAACCAATTGAAGCTTCCGAGCAGTCTTCAAAGGCAACCCCACGTAGAGAGCGTTGCAGTAGTCTAAACGGGATGTAACCAGAGCGTGGACTACCGTGGCCAAGTCAGACTTCCCAAGGTACGGGCGCAGCTGGCGCACAAGTTTAACTGTGCAAATGCTCCCCTGGTCACCGCCGAAACCTGGGGTTCCAGGCTCAGCGATGAGTCCAGGGTCACACCCAAGCTGCGAACCTGCGTCTTCAGGGGGAGTGTGGCCCCATCCAACACAGGCTGTAACCCTATGCCCTGTTCGGCCTTGCGACTGACCAGGAGGACCTCTGTCTTGTCTGGATTCAATTTCAATTTGTTCGCCCTCATCCAGACCGTCACAGCGGCCAAGCACCGGTTCAGGACCTGGACAGCCTCCTTAGTAGCAGGTGGAAAGGAGTGACAGAGTTGGACATCATCCGCGTACAGATGACACCGTACCCCGAAACTCCGGATGATCTCCCCCAGCGGCTTCATGTAGATGTTAAACAACATGGGAGACAATATTGAGCCCTAAGGAATGTCCCTGCTCCGACGTACATACACATTCAAGTTAAGAACACGCCTACAGAACCCATCTTGTTTGTAACTTGGGGACGGGCAAAGAAAGTGGCCAGAAAGCCCACGGAGTGCGGGATCTGCACACACTGAGATGCACAAAAGCACAACACTATCGCTCGATAAGCAAATCCTGCCTTTGGAAGCGGCAGCGCCAGAGTCCCATTGTCTCGCTTCCCTTTTCTCAACCTGCTGACAAATCACTTTCCTCCCCAAATCAGCAAAAAAGGGCTGTTTTTCTCAATTGGGGAACAAAGTTCAAGACAGATCCGGAGAGTGAAAGAGAGACTCAGGCCCCGTCTGAGGATAAAGCAGGATATAAACATAATAATAATAATAATAATAATAATAATAATAATAATAATAATAATAATAATAATAATAGATACATAGCCACTTTGAGTCTCCTTTGGGAGAGATAAAGCAGGATTAAATATAATATAATATTATAGATACATAGCCACTATGAGTCTCCTTCCGGAGAGATAAAGCAGGATACAAATGTAATAATAATAATAATAATAATAATAATAATAATAATAATAATAGATACATAGCCACTTTGAGTCTCCTTTGGGAGAGATAAAGCAGGATTAAATATAATATAATAATAGATACATGGCCACTATGAGTCTCCTTCCAGAGAGATAAAGCAGGATATAAACATAATAATAATAATAATAATAATAATAATAATAGATACATAGCCACTTTGAGTCTCCTTTGGGACAGATAAAGCAGGATTAAATATAATATAATATTATAGATACATGGCCACTATGAGTCTCCTTCCGGAGAGATAAAGCAGGATATAAACATAATAATAATAATAATAATAATAATAATAATAATAATAATAGATACATAGCCACTTTGAGTCTCCTTTGGGACAGATAAAGCAGGATTAAATATAATATAATAATAGATACATGGCCACTATGAGTCTCCTTCCAGAGAGATAAAGCAGGATATAAACATAATAATAATAATAATAATAATAATAATAATAATAATAATAATAGATACATAGCCACTTTGAGTCTCCTTTGGGACAGATAAAGCAGGATTAAATATAATATAATAATAGATACATGGCCACTATGAGTCTCCTTCCAGAGAGATAAAGCAGGATATAAACATAATAATAATAATAATAATAATAATAATAATAATAATAGATACATAGCCACTTTGAGTCTCCTTTGGGACAGATAAAGCAGGATTAAATATAATATAATATTATAGATACATGGCCACTATGAGTCTCCTTCCGGAGAGATAAAGCAGGATATAAACGTAATAATAATAATAATAATAATAATAATAGATACATAGCCACTATGAGTCTCCTTCCAGAGAGATAAAGCAGGATATAAACATAATAATAATAATAATAATAATAATAATAATAATAATAATAGATACATAGCCACTTTGAGTCTCCTTTGGGACAGATAAAGCAGGATTAAATATAATATAATAATAGATACATGGCCACTATGAGTCTCCTTCCAGAGAGATAAAGCAGGATATAAACATAATAATAATAATAATAATAATAATAATAAGATACATAGCCACTTTGAGTTTCCTTCCAGAGAGATAAAGCAGGATATAAACATAATAATAATAATAATAATAATAATAATAATAATATTAATAATAGATACATAGCCACTTTGAGTCTCCTTTGGGACAGATAAAGCAGGATTAAATATAATATAATAATAGATACATGGCCACTATGAGTCTCCTTCCGGAGAGATAAAGCAGGATATAAACATAATAATAATAATAATAATAATAATAATAATAATAATAATAGATACATAGCCACTTTGAGTCTCCTTCCAGAGAGATAAAGCAGGATATAAACATAATAATAATAATAATAATAATAATAATAATAATAATAATAATATACATAGCCACTTTGAGTCTCCTTTGGGACAGATAAAGCAGGATTAAATATAATATAATATTATAGATACATAGCCACTATGAGTCTCCTTCCAGAGAGATAAAGCAGGATATAAATGTAATTATAATATAATTATAATAATAGATACATAGCCGCTTTGAGGCTGCTTTGGGATATATTATATTTGTGTTAAATATAATATAATAATAATAATAATAATAATAATAATAATAATAATAATAATAATATAGATAAATATCCACTTTGAGTGAATAAATAATGGAGACTAAATATAATAATAATAATAATAATAATAGCCACTATGATTCTCCTTCTGGACAAATAAAGCAGGATATAATAATAATAATAACAACAACAACAACAATAATAATAATAGATACATAGTCGCTTTAAGTCTCC